CTCTCTAAATCTTCCGCTGTGCCATTTTGTGCCATCTTGTATGTATCAGAATGGACATTGCTTGTTGATGCTGCGCTGATCTTGCATTGTCCATTTCAGTCCTTTTCATCACATAGCGGATCCTTGGCTCCTGTGCATTGCTTCCCTGAGCATGCCCACAGGGCTCGATCCCCAGACCTTACCTTACCTTACCTGTGTACAGTATCAAGTCGACCCTGTGTCTTGAACCCGTGACCTGTATGTTAGTAGTTGAAAGTTGTCTGTTGTAGGTCTGAGTAGTTGTCGGGTCTTGAACCTTAGACTTGTCGAAGTAGTTGTCATATCTGCATATGGGTCATAGTTATTGTAGTTCTGAAAGGTCAAGGTCGTAGCTGCTACAGTCCTCAAAGGTCAAGGTCGTAGCTGCTGCAGTCCTGAAAGGCCAAGTCCGCAAACTTCCGGAAGGTCCGGAAGTGGCCTTTCAAGTTTCTTCTCACGTTATACACAGCAGACCAGAGGCAAGTGGGCAAGTGGTGAGTCCAACTTCGCTTAGTCAGCAGTACCCAGTCCCAGTCTCACTTTGTACAGTCAGCAAGTACCATGAGGGACTGTGTGCACCATGGGCCCCGTGGAAAAGGGCAGACCAGCGACTTACAGAAGTATAAATCAAGAGGCAGCGTCCAGCCATTCATTCATTCCTGCGTAAGTCATGCGGAAGCGCTGTCTGGGCGGCTTGTGCGAGGTGGTCTGCAGATGCCCGAGGTCGAAGTAGGCACTGAGGAAGATAGAGTGCCAAAGTCAGTGGTGGTGAGCGGCCATAGCCGCCGTAGGGTAGAGTTAGCTGTTAGCGAGTCAGAGTGTGGGTGTGCTGCAGAGAGTGTGTGCGTGGGGTATTCAGGGAGATCCGGAGCCGAGTGTGAATGTGTGTGTGAACAGTGACCGAGAATACTAAGTTGGGGAAGGAATTTGGGCGATCAATCGCCACAGCCGGTTGAAGCGAGTTTGTATCCGAACTGTGTTCTCGCTTTGAATATCTCTGAGCTTTGTGTGGGCGCACAGCGCCAGTGTGGATTGTCATCTGTTTGCATGTATGCGAAGTAAGAAGAAGCGAGTCTGATTGTAATCAAGAAGCCACTGTGGAAAACGGCCACCTCTCTCTCTCTCTCTCTCTCTCTCTCTCTCTCTCTCTCTCTCTCTCTCTCTCTCTCTCAAATTATCTTGGTTTGTTATTTTCTTGGCTGTATCTAGGGATGATGATGATTAGATTCATTCGCCTTGTTTTCCCATGTCTCATGTGCCATTTGCCCTTTCTGGCTGCATGTGGCTGCATGGTACACAGACTGTTTGTTAATGAACAGATCAAGAGTTCAAATCCTGTTGGAATCACATGGACACGATAGTATTAAGATGCTCATTTGATACTCCGTTAGAACATAGAATCTGATAGACAGGCTTTTCTTTTCGTATCTTAAGAAATAAACATTAAAGAAAAAGAAAAAAAGCTTTCAGTACCTTTCACCATTTGACTATACCGTCAATCATCAACATCACTTTTCCTACGGCTCAGCACTGTCCCCAACATATCATACCAATGGAGATGATATCTCAATACACTTAAAAGATACAAAGGTCCCAGCGACACATGCAGTCGCGGGCCCAGCAGAAACCAGCCGAGGGGTGGAACCGGAAGCGAGACCCAGGGCGACCGGTACCCACAGGCACGTACCGGAAACGGCACGAGGCGGTCCCGGCGACACGCGGCGGGGCTGAACCGGACGTGAGGGCCGCGGGTACGCGGAAAGGCGAAACGACGCGGCGGGGTCGCGCGCTGAGGCAAAACGAGGCCGCGTCGGAAAAGGAGAGCGCGGGGAGAGGGAAGAGGCGGCGCGGGGCTGGGCATCGAACGAGGGAGGGCCCAGGCGAACATCGAACCGCGCAGACTGCCAGCGGGTGCGGGGGCAAATCTTCGGGCGCCGGAGACAGGCACAGAGAGAGAGAGAGAGAGAGAGACGCGAAGTGACGGGTGGGCCGCTCGCGTGAGCATCGGGCACTTGCAGGCAAGCGGGCGAAGCGACGGTGTGAGAGAGAGAGAGAGAGAGAGAGAGAGAGAGAGAGAGAGAGAGAGAGAGAGAGAGAGAGAGAGAGAGAGA